CGATTATTAACAATCGATGATAATCGATTATTGGATAATAATCGATTATAATCGGATATAAAAATTTCCTGATGTAACTAAATATCTTAGTATTTTTTGAAAGTAAAAGTATAGAAGTTAACTAATACTTCTAATTAATCTTTTACTTATTGTTAATCTTTGATTTATTATTTTACTTAACTTTGACTTACCCAACTAGTGGAAGTTATCTTTTGTATTTTAATAAATCATTCGCATTTTTGAATTATAAAATACTTACCCAACTAGTGGAAGTATCCAAATTTATTTCTTTTTAATACTCTCTCCCAACCATCTAGTATCCAACCCTCTCAAGTACACACAGTTACTATTATCACTTTTATACAATTCTTAATTAATTACTATAATTAGTTAATACTTTACTTATCACTATAAGAACAGTAACAATACAATTAATGAGAATATAATCTGATATATTGATCATGAGAAAAAATAAATCAAACTACAGTGATTTATATTTTATATTCCTATATTCTAATTGGCTATTAAATTAAAATCATGTATTACTTTAATTAAAATAATCAGACTATATTCCTATATTCTAATTGGCTTGTACTATTTAAAATTACGTAAAATGTAAGATTTTAATCATTTCTCTCTTTCCCTTTCATAATAACATCATATATATCTGTTCTTTAAATAAATTTATATTTAGTAAAATTTAAAAATATAAAGAAAATTCTTTAATAATTCAAAAATTTCAGATAAATTTATTTAAAATACAGATTAAAAAATATTTATATAATATAATCAAATTTCTTTATTGTTATCATTTTCAGGAAAGCAAAATTTGATGAATATTATCACCATTTTACTTGAATTTCAAATATATTATATCTTTTTACATGTTCAACATGTGTTTCAAGTCAAATGGGAGAGATAAAATAAATAACTAAAGATGGTGACATATATTCATTAAATTACTAGTTAGCTAAAAAATGACTTAAGAAATCTTCTTATAAATTAATATGTATTTAATATAATAATTATGACAATAGTTTATAGACAAGTAAAATATTATAAATTCAGTTTATTAAATCATTTCAACAATATGACATTACAACGTGTGAGAGGTCAAACTATAAATATGACATTACAAACATGTAAGAGGTCATCAACATAACATTACAATGTGTAAGAGATTATAAACATAACATCACAAACATGTAAGAGATTAAAATAAAACTAAAATAAAACTTTAAAACTTAAATAATGAAATAATAAAAGAAATATTTTAACATAATAAATGTATTATTTTCAAAAGAGCATTATTATCAAAGAAGTTTATTTTTGAGTCATTAATATTTGAGTTGACTGAATAACTGATTTTTCTAAGCTAAAATATATGCTTCTTTTATATAAAATTGTTAAATTAAAACTACCAATGATATTTACAAGAAAATTGCTTATTCGCTCACTTAGTTACTCGCTTATTCACTTGTCTTGTGATCTAATATAAATATAGATCATCTAATGTAACATAAATAAATGATCTATGTATTATTTGTAAATAATAATATAAATGTAATACAAATAATAATATAAATAATATATTACGAGATGTAAATAAGAAAATCTTAATTAATTAAAATATAAATATGTGTTCTCAAAATTATCTAATAGAATCAAATGATAATTTTGACTAATAATTAATATGAAATTCCATTATATAACACTATAGAGAAAATGTGACTATAAAGAGATTTTTTTATTATATTTATATATAAATGAAAAAACAAGGTAAAATAACTATAAAGAAATGTAACTATAAATGAATGTAAATATAGAGAAATTTAACTTTATTATATATAGTTAAATTAAAGTATTTAGCATCAAATAATCTGTAAAAAAAATTTTAAATTAAAATTTAGAATATTAGAACACTTTAATAGTTCAAAATCTGAAATATTCAAAATTTTGAAAAGTATTTTAGTTCAAATTATTAATAATATTATAATTTTTAACTTAGAATATCTAAGCAAGTTATATGTATTTGTTATTATAATCTCTGACTTGACATCAATGTTGTTACTTTATTATGTTCAGTAACCAGAAGTTATTGAACTGGACCACATTGAACTTATAAAATTACTAAGTTCAGTGATCTAGTAATACAATATTGAATTATATTCAGTATAATCCAGTTGATAACACTGCTTAACATGTTGTTAAGCAAGTTATTGATACTTTAATTTATAAAAGAAATTAATAAATAAATTAGTATAGCAGAATTGGATCTCATTCTAGCAGGTTACAATATGAACACTTCATTATCTATTTTTAAATAAATATGAAATACTACAAATCACGTCTCTCACGTAGAATCCAAATCATGTAAAAGCGGTAATAATACCTTTATTTCATATGTTAATAGAAAATCTATTATTAAATATAAATTTATTTTTTGGTTTACAAAAGTAAAGTTTCATAAATTTACTCGAGTTTCTTGAATTTTTACAAAAAAAATCATTATTATAAAGTGATCTACATTATATAATTGCATCATTGATATTCAAAGTTTTCACATAAAACTGTTTCAAATCAGTAATGCCAAGCAACAACAAATTAAGCAGCTCCGGCACGATGCAGAACACATAAGATAACACTTGTGTATTGGGACTAGGAGGACCGAATAAAATCACTATTAAATACAGCATTCTAATAACCAACAATGCAACACTTGACGCCAATATCGTCATCTTTTCTTTATTCGAATTTCCTCCATTTACAATCTTAGGCACTAAATACGCTGTCAACATCCAATGAACAATCAACAACGTTGTGTAGCCAATGATTGAAACCTTAATGAGTACCGAGCCAACCTTGAGCTCATTATTGTTATTGTATTTGGATCCATTGTATTGCTTTATGACGCCAATAGTCCAAGAGATAGAAAATGGCGGAAGTGAAATAAATGCTAAGATGAATGGAATTCGCTCATAACGGTTCAATTTATTAGGAGTTACCCAGTTAAACAGCAGCACATATAGGACCTTGATAACCAAGAAAATCCCACCATTTCGTAATATGCTTGGTGCTAGTACAAATAGTGAGCTATTATTATATGGGTTAACTGACCGTGCAATGTAGAGGGCGAATGCGGATACTTCCATAATGGAGAATGTGGCGAGAGTGAGGTAAACTTTAGCATAGTTGTATATGAGGCGTCTGGTTATTAGTGTTAGGGTTAAAAAGAAGAGGACGAGGAAGACGATGTAGAGGATCATGTTAGTCTTTTCATCCATTGCAATTTAAAACTGCGAGAAAATCAATGTTGAGAATGAATGCGTTGATAGTTATTCTCATATAGAGGGGGATTTTTACTATTGAAATATAAAAATACAAAGGTATCAAATTATTATTTATATTAAATTTTCTATGCCTAAAAAATCAACAGAAACAAAGGAGCATTTTCCAGCCACATATAATGGGTCTTAGTCGAGAAATATCATTGTTCACTTACTATAAATAGGGTCCGATACCAACGTGATTTATTGACCTTAGTTTTTAGAGTCAACGTTAAATTATCCAAAGTGATCAGCACACTCATAAATCCATTGCTAACTGGATGTTACACAAATTTTTGATCCACCCGGCAAAACAAATTCGACAAGAAAATGAAAAATGCGAAAATACAGGAAGCATATGTTTAAATCTATCTTGATGCACTAATAAAAAATGTCGACGAGACAATTTTACATATAAGCTTGATCTTTATTCTACATGTAGTCCAAAGCGGAGTAATCACGTGTAAATAGACCAATTCAATTGCAAAAATCAAGTATAATATACAAATTTGACCGATCCAATTATAAGATCATGTGTCAAACAAAAAAATTGTGAAAATTGCAAATAATAAGTAAAAATGAACAGCATGAAATTTTAATTTTTTGAAAGCTAATCTTATCTAATAAAATTTTTAATAAATTTAATAATTAATGAAATTATTTTACTTTAGTTAACTATTATAATTATATTATAAAAATCATTAATTTTACAATTTGTAACAAATTACAAAATTATAAAAATTATATAAAGAATTTAGAATATCTCTTTAATTATTAATTATTATACTTATCTATTTCTATTTTTTTATCTTATATTATTTTTATTTTTATATTTTTTTACTTTTTATATTATTAACTTATTTTATTATTATCTATTTTTCTATTTATTTATTTATTTATTTATTTATTTATTTTGATAAATATATTCTAGTCAATCACAAATTTCTAAAGTACAATCAAATCTCTTTATAGTCATGTCCGTTTATAGTTACACCCTTTTATAGTTACTCTATTTTGCTTTCCCATTTACATATAAACATAGTAAAAAAAACTCTCTCTATAGTCACATTTCCTCTATAGTCACCAAATTTTGCTTTTCCAAAAGTGATGACTATAGAGGTATTTGATTGTATATTTATTTATTTATTTATTTATTTTTTTATTTTTCTACTTTTTTATATTTAGTAAATTAGAACTCTATTTTTAATTAATATATTTAACTTTTATATTTTTTTCTTGTTTTTAATATTATATTAGTATTTGTAAAAAATATATAAATACAAGTTATAATTGAACTTTAATTTAATTTAAAAATAAATAATACAATAAAATAAATATATTTTAATACTTATATATTTTGTTTTTTTCTCAATTATATATTTTAAAGCTTATATACAAGTAGTTTTGTATTATATTAAACTAATCAAAATATTATTATTGAAATTATTAAATTGATATTTTTGTTATTAACTAGTTTATTAATATTTTTATTATATTGAATTATTTGTAATTTCTTGTCTAAAGATATTGTAATTTCTTTTATAAGAAAAATAAAGTAAAAAAGTTTTTAGTATTTTTGTTATTATTTGTTTAAGCTCTAAAATATATAATTATTAGTATAAAAAATTAATATATAAATTAATATTTTAATTAAAATATAAATTAAAAATATTATTTATTTTATTTCTTTTTTTATTTATATTTTTTTCAAATTTAGTAAAAATTAATATAGAACTTAGATATATTTTTCTATTTTTTTTTATTATTTAGTTTTTTTTAATTATTGTTTATATTTATTAGTTAATTCCATAATTAGTGAAAAATATGCAATATAATCTTCTTAAAAATAAAATTTGTATTAATTATTTTTATTATAAAGTGATTAACTAATTTTTTGTATGATTTATTTTTATTGATCAATAAAAAAGTTATATTATTCAATAAAATAGGATTTATATATATAATTAATTACTAATATTTTTTATCAAATTAATATTTTATTTAATATTTTATTTTATTTAATATTATATATTTATTAATTAAGTAAAATAAAATTTTTTATTATAACTAAAAATAGTATTAGAATTAAGAGATTACAATTTAAGAATAAAATATATAATATTATTAAATTAAAAAAATTTTGCTTAAAAATTAATTAAATTACTTGATTTTTAAAATCAAGCAATTTAATTAGTTCTTGAATAATTTTTTTGATTTAATAAAATTACATACTTTATTTTTAATAAATTATAATAATATATTATAATTTATTATATTTATAATTAATTGCAATTATTATAATAAATTATAATTAAATTAAATTTTTTATTATTATATAAAAATATAATTATAAATAATATATTATTACTAGTTTGTGATTTTTACAAATAGAGATATTTACAAGATAAATAATAGTAAATATTTATATAGAAGTATAAAATATAACTTATAATTTTTATTTTGATAAAAAAAATAAAATTTATTAATAAAATTAAAAACTTTTTTATATTCAGCATAAATATAATAGCAAATATGTTTTTTTACTTATATTTTAATTAGAAAATTTTTAAAAGTTATAATAATTTATAAATAAATTCTTTAAGTTATTAGAAACAAGATTTATTAATCTTGTAAAACACATTAACATAATGATATTTTGTGAAATTTTGTATCAAATATAACGAATTATAATTTTTAAAAATTAAAATAAAGATATAATTATAATTGATTACAATTTAATTATAATTTTTTAATTAATTATTATAATTAATTGTAATTAAATTACAATTCTCTAATTGAATATTACAAGTTACAATTAATTGAGACATTATCTTTAAATTAAATTAAAATGAAATAAAAAATTATTTAAAATAATTTTTAATAAAAAATTTTGAAAAGAATTTTATGAAAATATATATATATTGTAATATAAAGAAATATTTATAATTTAAAAAATTTTTTTAGTTCATTTTATTTAATAAATATTATTCAAAACAGATTTTATTTTAATGAATTTTTTAATAAAACATAATAAAATATAATAAAATGAGATTTTTATTAAAAAATTTCTCAAAATAAAATCTTTTTTGAATGATATTTATTAAATATAAATGAACTAAAATAAATATATTCTTTATATTACAAAATATATTTTTTATAAAATTCTTTTTAAAATTTCTTATTAAAAATATTTTTAAATAATTTTTTATTCTATTTTAATTGCTAAAAATTATAATTTGTTATATTTGACACAAAATTTTACAAATATTATTATATTAATATACTTTATAATATTAATAAATCTTGTTTTACAAATTTTTATGACTTATAAAATTTTTTAATTAAAATATTTTTTGTACTGATTATATATAATAAAAATTTTAATTTTTTACTATATTTTATTAATAAATTTATATATTATCACCGATTCAATAATTTAATATAAGAACATGTGAACAAAAGATGCAATATGATAAAAATTAGTCATAATGATATTTGGATTATGTAGATAGTTCAATAATATTCTACTTTTTTCTATTTCTTTCTATTTTCTTCTTTTTCTTTTTCGTATTACTTATTTTTCTATATTTATCTTATTGTTATCTTCATTTGAATATATTAATCACGTTATTTCTTGGCAAATTTCATCATTTTCTATATTAGTTTAGTCTTTATTTTCTATTTTTGCTATTGGTACTTAGATGTAGAACAAGATTATTAATTATG